AGAGAGAGAGAGAGAGAGAGAGAGAGAGATGAATGATCCCTGACTTTTTCTCTTTGGAAAGGAGTGCCTTCTAAGGTCTTGCTTCTGCTGGGCCTTGCCTTCTAGTTGTTTCACTGTCTCCTGGGGAATTAACAGAAAGTAAATTAAAAAGGGGGCACCTCAGTCAAGACATCTGTATATTCATAGGCAGTTTGGGAGCACTCATAGAACTTCCAGGTCCATAACAATGTAAGTGGCTGTGGCTTTTCAGAATGCCGACAGAACTTTCGAGATCTGGAGACTAGCAGACCCATCTGGTGCTACTCATGCCATAGCATACTAAGAAAATCCCATCTTCTCCCATGGGTGTTCTTTATAGAACAGATCTTAGACATACTCATTTGTAAGACAGCAATCTAGGGAAGATTACTGTTTCTACATCTTTTCTTATTTGTACATCTCCTAGGTCTATGTCCAGGGTAGAAAATACATTCTGTGGTCTTGGAATGCGTGGTCCTTCCTTGAGTACTAATTGCAGGTTAATAACATCTTTTCATCAACAGAGTACTGCAGAGTCATTGGAAAGCCTTCCATCCAGCTTTTCAAGTCCTCACTACATCACACTGGTGTGTACCTTCTCTTGGTTGGTTGTGCCCATTTGTGTACATCTCATTAATCATTTGGTTGTCACTTAACTACTATTAGTTCCTTGAAAAGACCCGGTAACATCACCCAGATATTGGCCTGAAATATGACTAACTCACGCTAGTATGAACACATGCTTAGCATGGTGGGGCTGAGCAGAAGTGAATGAAATGAGCCTGCACTCCCAGGACATACTTCATTTACAATAATCATAATTGGTCTCTTGTTGATTAACTGTGATTTTTTTAAAAAAAAAAAAAAAAACCTGTGTTTAGTTAAAATACATAGTTACGGGTTTCAGTGTGACATTCTTCACACACACACTTTGTTTTTGTTTGTCTTCCTTCTCTGCTTCTCACCCACATTCCCAGCTTGCACCCTTTCACCCCTCCTGGTCCCCTTTCCACTTTTGTGTCACATGTTTTCTATTACCATTTCCTCCCACCTCTTTCCTTAAAACCCACTTTCCCCGTCTCAAGTGCTCTTTCTAGTTTTGTGATCTATAGCCACACCCAAATGCACAATTAAAAGCCAAGGTCAAGATAGGAGAGACACGTGAGACATATTTGTCCTTCCGAGTGTGGGTTGATTCACTTACTGGAGTAATTTCCAGATCCATCCACCTTCTTTCCAGTTTCATGATTTTATCTTTCTCTATGACTGAATACAATTCCATTGTGCACACGACTGTTTCTCTTCCCTCATTTATCTGTTGAAGGACACGTAGACTGGTTCCACTTTCTTATTGTGAATAGTGCAGCATTACAATGGATGTCACAGAACCTCCCTGGTAGGGTTTAGAGTCTTTTGGGTGGGTGGGTGCAGAAGTGGTCTAGCTGGTATTAGTCTCTGTAATTATTGAGTTTGTTTTTGCTATTTAAGTTCTATTTTCAAATCAATACCTTATTAATCACCCCCATCCTGGTCCCAGTTTTGAGGGACAGAAACACAGTGGTGGTTTTCACTGAGGCTTTCATTAGCTCCAGGGCTCTGGACTCTCAGTTAACCAAGATGTTGAAAACAAAGAATTATTACAGACTCTCCAGGAATGACCCAAATCCTGCATCTTCAAAGTCTCACAGGAAGGTACCTCACACTTGGAGCTAGGAGATGTATGTACATCAAGATGCTCAAATATGCAGTATAAAACCAGCTGTTTTCTAAGTGGATGACCAAAAGGCTGTGATCAGAGTAGTTCTGTCTGGGGTTCTTCAGTATCACAGAAAGGATCTCATATTGTGCCTAAAAGAAGCTGTGTGTGAAAATTTCCAACTGCATTCCCTGCAGAACATGGCTCTAGCGGGTTGCAGTAGACATGCTTGAAAAGTCTCTTCTATTACATATTCTCAGAGATTCACACACTATACTAGAACTATGTGTCTTCTCATGAGACCTCCCCTAGGCAGAAATTCTTCAGCCTCCCCTTCCATTAATGATTTATGAACTACCTTAGGTGTGTTGTTGTTGTTTTTCATAGAGCAAGAAGCGCTCTGCCCTGTGTGTGCGCTCATGTGCATGCATATACATGTGTGTGCTGCTAGCAAGAAGAAATCTGCCCTGTGTGTGTGCTCATGTGCATGCATATGCATGTGTGTGCTGCTAACAAGAAGTCTGCCCTGTGTGAGTGTCATGAGCATGCATGTGTATGTGTGTGCTGCTCACAATAGCTGGTTCAGTTCCTGACAACACATATGTTATGTGTTATAGAAATCTATCAGCAAGGACTCAAGAGGAATTGCAGATCCCAAGCAAGGTGATAACATGGTAGGTTCCTATGACAGGGAGTACATCCCTATTTAAAATTCAAATGCCGGAATTCTTCAGCATTCTGGTAGGTGTTACCTTACCTACCCATTCACTGACTAGAGCTATCGTCTGCACTTACCAGATGACAGGGTGGTTGAAATTGTGTTCACACACACTCAGAAATTTCTGTAGAGTACACTCCAATGCATATTTACACTAAGACTTTTAAGCTATGTGGAAGGACCAAGCTAGAAATCAATAGTGTCAGACTAACAAGATGTTCTAGAAATAACAAAAATGAGAGTTTTGCTCAGATTTTACTGGCCATACTCACGACTTGGGGTTCCGTGATATACTTTAAAGGGTATGATGGGCTGGTTACTGTGGCAAGGGAACACTGTTTATTAAATTGCTCCATTATCAAAGACTTTTCTTACCAAGTCAACCGATGACCGTGGGTGAGGGGCACTGTCCCATTTGAATGACTATGTCTGTACTGAAAAAAAAAATTAAGTATTTTTTATCAAAGAAACAGAACAAGCATTTCTTTCCTGTATTTCTGAACTTCTGCCTTTTCTCTTTCACCATCTCTCTTGTGATTGGCCCATTCATTTTAGAGCATAAGTAACCATGACTACTCTCTAAGGGGTGTGTAAAAAAGCAGAATAATAGGCCAATGAGAAGCTCATCAGGAGAGATGCTTGCTGTGAAGACTCAGCCTCCTGCGTTCCAGCTCAGGACCCCATGGTGGAGGGAGAGAGCCAGCTCCCTAAAGTTGTTTTCTGATCTCCACATGAGCATCAGGCCACACACACAATTCCCTAAATAAATAAATAAATAAATAAATAAAACACACACACACACACACACACACACACACGTAAATAATTTTAAATTAGTTTAAATTAGTAAGACAGAATCCATGAAACTCATCCTAATTTGTAGATATAAAAGAGGGACTGAAACACATGTTTACAGATTTTACAGAAAACAACTCATTTTCCACCATCTGCTTCTGTTTAGAACTTGAAACTGGATATTCAAAACGGCTGTGCAAGACTGGGATGAAGAGCTTCCCTGCAGATCACCCCAGCCATGATGTCTGCTGAACAGATTTTGATTGTTTTTCCAAATATTCCTTATCTGGATAGAAAATGTTCAAGAGAAACAGTTTCTTTCTGTTAATATTTAGTCATAGAACCCACAGCCTATAGCACAGACTGTATGCTCTGGAAAATTTGTGTATGAATTTTCCAATGGGCTTTAACTCAATGTCCAAATAGGAAGTCTCTCTGCTCTAGCAATTGCTTGCACAATATTAATCTTGTCGCTTTTATAAGAATTAAAACTTGGACAGTGATCATTTAAAGCCTCACGTATAAGAAACAAACAGGGCTAGTGATTGAATGGTTACTTTGTGAAGGTCATAACGGCGCTTACTTTCAGGTCAGATGTGGTGACCCAGGGCTGGGATCCCTGGAGGCTGAGGCAAGATGATCTCAGGTTCAGGATCTATGTGGGCTGCAAAGAGAGCTCAAGTCAAGTCATTAGGAATGAGCTCAGTGGTACAGCAGAGTGGAGGACACTGTAGGATCAACTCCTAGAACTAAAAATAAAAAAGAAAGATCAAAACAAACAAAGAGTGCCTATTTTGATTTTCAAGCTATACCATTGAAATCTGGCTTAAATGAAATTGTCTCCCTATAGAAGTTCCAGGGAGATAAGGTCAGGGTAGTGAGTTATACTAGTTGATTAAAAGTGGAGGGAACTAAAGATCGGCCCCATTGACTACAGAATAGTCATATAGCATACCATCTACAACCTGGAGTATAGGGGCTCCTAGAAACTCTGGTTTCCTAGGTCTGCCTTTCTAATGTTCTATAAGAAGCTCTGTAGATGTTAGGGATTTTAAAAAGTTCCCTCCACCTCGTTGTGTGCATGCTGGGTCTCTGAGGCCCCCGGGATACACGGATGAGTGCTTAGTGTGCAGCTTCCATCCTGCAGATCTCTGAAGGCCCATGGGTTCGTGTTTTGTGTGGGGTTGTTTCCTTGTACAGATACCTGTGGGTGGGAGCACTCTCTCACAGTCTCTGTTTACTTGTTGGGAACTGTTAAGCCTGCTGAAGCTTTGCTATTTTTTCCCCTATCCTGAAATAAAGATCTCAAACGCTAAATGAAATTTTTGTGATTCAATGAAATAAAAGCTGGAAAAGAACAGAGTGTCCTGTCCTTGGTGATGTTTCTGCTGCTGCGCCGCTGCAGTTTATTCCCTAAGAACCCTCATGACTCAGCACGGATTTAACCAAAGTTGCTTCTTTAAGAGAGAATATTGGGCTGGCGATGTAGCTTATATGGGAGGGGGGCGAGAGGAGGGAGAGTATAGGTAGGTCAGGTCAGGGAGAAGAGGAGTGGGAGGGAGAAGAGGAGGAAGAGGGGAGGAAGTGGAGGGGGAGGAGAAAGAAAGAAGGAGGAGGAAGAGGAAGAGGGGGAGGAGAAAGTCGATTCTGGCACCTGGGAAAAAGAGGCAAGGGACTAGAAAGTTTGAAGCCAGCCTAGGCTGTGTAGTGAGCTCAAGGCAGTCTCAGCTACATAGGGAGACCTGCCCTTGAAAATGTGTGGGCTGTTGACTTAGATCAGTGGTAGAGCTCACCACTAAAACATCTAGGGGCCATCTCTGCACTGTAAGAAAAAAAAAATAATGGTCCACGGGTAATGTTTTTACACCTGAAGACACTAAAATATGTAAATCTATGAGGCATAAAAGAACAACTCCATTATTCAGTGAGAAGTCCTGCTCCAAGTGTGCTGTGTGAAAAGTACAAACATATTTGTATCTTTCTACAATGTCACAATGTACCAAACAACAGCAAATTCAAGTGCTACTTTAGCTGCATTGGCTGTGATTTAGCTGGGTAGCAGGCCTGGCTATTGACAGTCACAGGTTCTATCATTTTATTATAATTACCAATATTAACTTGTAGATCATACGCAATAATATACTGCTATACATTTTACAGAATGACTAAGAAAGGTATAATGAGGCTGCAGAGAACAGAGGTGCTGTCCTCACAGGGGCAGAGAGGTGATGTAGGTGTCCAGGAACAGTCCCTAGGGGAGAGCCAATGCAGGTGTCTAGGAACAGCCCATAGAAGCCAAATGAGAAGTCTTTTATTTTATTTTTTATTAAGAAATTTTTTCATTAATTTTACATACCAATCAAAGATCCCCCTCTTCCCTCCTCCCTCCCCAGCCTCCCCCTCCCAACCCACCCCCTCCCTTCTCCCCACAAGAAGGCAAGGCCTTCCACAGGGAGGCACATCCAGTAGAGGCAAATCCAAGCCCTTCCCTCTGCCTCAAGGCTGCACGAGGTGTCCCATCATAGGGAGCGGGCTCCAAAAAGCCCACTCCTGCACCAGGAATGAATTCTGATCCTACTGCCAGGGGGCCCCCCAAGCAGATCAAGCTACACAACTGTCTGCCATGCAGAGGATTTAGTCCAGTCCCATGCAGGCTCATGCAGGCTCCACAGCCATTGATCCAACTTACATGAGTTCCCACTAGTTTGGTTTGGTCGTCTCTGCAGGTTTCCCCATCATAATCCTGATGCACTTGCTCATAGAATCCCTCTTCTCTTTGACCGGACTCCTGGAGTTCTACCTGGTGTTTGTCTGTGGATCTCTGCATCTGCCTCTATCAGTCACTGGAGAGAAGCTCTGTGATGACAGCTAGGTTATTGACTCGTTTGATCACTGGGGTGAGCCAGTTCAGTTCAGACACCCTCTCCACTATTTCTAGTAGTCCAAGCTGGGGTTATTCTTGGGGATTCCTGGAAACTTTCCTAGCACTGGGTTTCTCTCTATCCCCATGATATTTCACTTTATCATGGTATCTCTTTCATTGCTTTCCCCCTCCATCTCTGTTCCAGCTCAACCATCCCATTCCCTTATGTTCTCATCCCCTATCCCCCATCCTCCACTGCCCACCCCTCATCCCCAGTTTACCCATGGAGATCTCATCCAAGCACGGGTACAGAGCTGTTTGGTCAGATGTCAAAGGCAGGCACTGACAGATGGCCACAAGGGTCAGCTTGAAGTGGACCAAATGTCATGGGCAGAAGAAACTGAACTCAAGATTGGGGGCAGAGGCCAGAGTCCTTTTCTGTCTCATTTTTTCCTGAATGAGGTTGATGACAAGTGACAGAGTGACCAGTCAGCTTGCTTGTCCTGCTTTGGTCCTGCGGCACTCCTTTTTATGTCCTGAGATAAGAGGGGAGAGCTTCCATCTGGTGTGATTGATCAGTGTATGGTCCAGTGTTTATCATAATGTCTTATACATGTTCAGGTGTCCTTCATGCTTGGCACAAATGTGCCTCCTGGTGTGCTAGTCTGGCTGGCCATTACCTCTGTAAGCAGAATGTAGACTCACTCTTTCTTACACTCAAAATGAGGTAACACTGGTAAAGTCTGTGAACTCATAAAATGGAGTCAATCCGATTGGGCACAACCCCAGCTGATATTTCCTAGAGCACTCAGGAACTCAGGATAGGCTGAGCCTGGTCACCTCAGTCCCGCTACACCAGACAATAACTTAACATGCAAAATTAAGGGGAAAACCATACTTTCAGATTCTCCTGAACATGTCAAGTGTTGGTGAAGAGTACACACATTTTGGTATTATCTAAATCCCTCATAAAAGGATCACCCTCTTGATTTTTTCTGTTTTTCTTTGGTGTCTATCCAACATCTCTTCTAAAAAGTTTAGCACATTGTTTCTTCTTCTGCTTTGGTTTCCACATTCAATTGACTCCTAACTTCTGGTTATTTGTTTCCCAAATTTCTTCTTTCTCTAATTATAACTATGTCTAGCCTTTCCCCAAGCTCCAGCTTCATGATTTCCCACTAGGCAATCTCTTCAGAGTTCTAACCTGCTATTCTTTCTTCAGATAATCCCGGAACCTTATTATAGGCAAATCCCTTTAGATTTTACCTATAGCTCTCCAAGATTGCCCAAGCTAATCTGCTGCTGAATCATTTCCCATTTGTCCTTAGAAAAGGCATATGTATCAGACAGTAGAGGAAGCTACAACTTCTGATTCTGTCATGAGCTTGACTTCTTGCAATATCCCAGTATCTTTCAGCTAATTTTGTCTCTGTGTTTACTGCTATTTTTTCCCTCTCAACTGGGCATTGAACTCAGGTCTTGGTGTATGCAAAACACACATTCTATTGTCAAGCTTCACCTCTAGCCCTACAACTTTTAGTTGGCCTTCAATGAGCTGTAGGAGGAAAGAAAGATATTTACATGCAGGTGTGTCAAGACCTGTAGCAGAAAAACAGAACAGAGATGTACTTTGCTGAAATTGAGCTTGTAGGCTGCAGATGAGGCCGGGAGTGGAGCAGCCTGAGATCACTGGCTGGAGAGGAGCTCTGATAATGAATCCAAGTGTCCATCCCTCATCCATCCATATACCCCTCAGTATGGGGTCTGAAACCAGAGCTAGAACATAGAGTGAGAACTGAAAACCAGCTAACGAGTGACCATGCTCTGCAGCCTACATACAGATCATTGGTTCCTAGGGTTTAGGTAAAACTACTGCCCAAATCACTGACCTACAATAAACGACACAGACATGCACAACTCATAGAAATCTGGATGGAATATAGTTGTTAAAACACAATCAGACATATCAGGGACTGCACACTGAGGGAAAATGTGGTCACAGAGGGTTTTGTGAGGAGTGGTCAGTCACCTTTCAAACACTCAACACATAAGGCAGAGTCTACTCTGTGATATATTCCAAAGGCTGTGGTGCCAAAGAATCTCTTTTGTTTGATTTCCGTGTATGTCTTCCCGTATAATCTCAAATATATTTTTATGTCAGCTTTGTCAGGAAATGAAGCTATGGTGCTATAAAATGAACTGTAGAAATGATCCATGAAGATAGTCTTGATGACTCAAAGCACAACAAAATCCCACTTTTTGTGGTCCCCACTGGGATCCCAAACATGTATTAAGCATATCTGTCATTATGGGCCTCTCTCCCATGTTCTCAAGCGATCTATCCTGGCAATGACGACAGAATTCAAAACTCACTTTAGATGTACTGAGATTGGAGAGCTACCTTCTCAAGAGAGAAAACCGTCTCCGGCAATGAAGTTCACAGAAGGAACACAAGGTGGCGACATAGCCAGCTACATTTCAGGTGAATGAGTTCTTCTCCAGACGGACACCATCAGACTTACAAAAAGAGATGGCTTGAAAAAAGCTTAGGAAGAAATTTGCTAACTTCACTCTCAGTTCTCAGAAATGGAAATTGGTGCGAAAATTCCCCTCTCTTATTTTTCTTCATTGCCAAGATTATGGGCCAACGGGAAGACACACACGGAAATCAAACAAAAGGAGAAGTAGATGGCAGTTTGACACCTTTGAATGGAGACGTCCAACCAGAAAGGCAAGCGGCTTTGCTTTCAGCTCTGCAGTTCTTGACACTAACACAGCAGGCCCCAGCAACCCAGACTTCTAAAAGCTAAAGGGAGATGAAGTGTGTTTATTTGTTTTTACTAGGTATTGTCCACTCACTTTTTTTTACGAAGGTCAGCAAGTTCGCATAGCCCCCTGCTGCCATGGAAACCTGAAGAGCCCTTCGACCTTCATCAAGGATATGTAATGAATGGTCAATGAGAAGAAAAGCTTTGTGACTTTGTGGTAGACTGCTGGTGACAACTGATGTCCCTCTGCTGATCACAGTCGAAGAGTGAGAAATATTGATTAGCGTCTCCGTCTTATTTGAAGCTTCCTGATCACTTTCTTACTGAAGGTCAGGCTTTTAGAAGACTCAAGCCCGGCTCTATGAGGAAATGGCTGTGCTGTGTCTTGACAGGCTCCATTAACGCTTTTCACCAGGACATCTGTAATCCCAAGCTGTGTGTAATGGATATTGATTGCTAAGAAAAGGAGATAGCGATAACATTTAGGCTTCAGCGGTCTTCAGGGACAAATGATATAGAAGAGGAACACAGGGATGCTAGCTAGGAAGAAACTGTGGAAGAACAATCTTAGAGAATCTTACACAAGTGAATTCAGAAGCCAGAGCTGCTTACTTAAGGATATCAGATATTTGCCTTGATAACAAACAC